AATATTTTGTTTTGACAAAAATCTGTTTTTGGTAATACATTTCCTTCAAAATTGTATTGCTGATAATAATTTTTTTCAAAAAAGTATTGCTGGTAATAATTAACTACTTGCCCATAGCTGGGACCCTAACAAGTGCTGCCACCCCGGGTCAGGGTGGACCTGGGAACACAGCAATTAAGAGGTGGTTCCACGCTCCTCAAAACCTCCAGATCAGAGGCCTTGCTGTTGGACGTAGTTTAACGTCTTACCCAGGATGCGGATGTAGTTTAACATCTTAACTAAGACGACGTGTGATTGGGATTCAGAAAATAGGAATATTGAAACCTAGAATCACAGCTGCTGCAATCATGATATTTATTAGACTTGTAATATTGTACTTTGCTAAGTAATTTTGAAGTAATTTAAAGCATGGACCAAATACGTAGTTAAATGCTAGTTGGTTATAGCATTTTCCATGACCATATATCACTGGAAGACAGGAAAAAGATGGGACAAGACTATAAAAACCTCATTATGATTTAAAAAAAAAACTATTTACAATTTTTATTCTTAAAAATAATATTCTGTATATATAAAGGAAAGAAGAAAAATGGCAAATATAGCCTTTAAGATTTGAGAATATTTCTGCAAGAAAGATTTGTCATGCTGACAAGAAATTTATCAGTAGATAGATTTATTATTAACTAGCTTAAAAGCTGCACTCCACAGACTTTTTAGCTAGTTCCTGTGGGGGTGGGGATGTTAATAGGGCCACTGGCCCAAAACTAAAAAGGACCTCTGGTCCAGTTTAGAAAACAGCAATGATAATTTTAAAGAAATAAATTTGAATTTCTCAATTCACTTCAAAACCTCACCTTTAACTCAGATTCAGGATATAAGTCCAATTCTAGCTAAAAGACTGATTTGGGCTGAAATTCCAATTCAGGCCAAAAACTGAGTTCTTCAAATCACAAACTCTGTGGAACTTCAAAACCTCTCACTTTGATTCCTTGGCATTTTGAAGAAATAAAATTGGTTTCCTCAATTCCCAAAGTTCTGGAGATATTTTAAACAAAATTTTTTAAAATTCAAAGTTTTTGTGTTACTTTATACTCAATATAAATTAAAAACTTAAAAATCACTAATTTTTTTTAGCTATTTTACAATTTTTAATTGTTCCCTCCTCATCTGAATACAAATCCAAATGCTGGATGTTCAAGCACAAGATAAAGGGCAAATTTTCAATCCCAGGATCATCCTGATTCCAAAAAGGTATAATATGTCTATGAGAAAGTGCGGCCAGAATTAGAGGTGTTTCAGATACACAGACAGACAGAGAGAATTTGCCGTTTATTTAGATAGATATCTTTAGGGACTTCATTTACAAGATCATAATCTGTAAATCTTTTTAATTAATACATTCACTGAAAATCATTAGATATTTGTGGCTAATTGGGAAAAAATATAATCAAGTAGTGTTGAATTGGAGGAACCTAAATGGAGCCAAAGTGACTTCAAATATTTGATAAACGATTTGTACCATTCTATACACACACACACAAAGCAAGAAGACATTTACAAGCAATGAACAGATTTGAATCTCAGAGAAGATCTGCAAATAACTTCAACATAATCAACATTTTTACAACATAGCTAATAATAGCAGCAACAATTTATCATGCAAAGGTGGGAGATTTCTTACATAAACAAACTAAAAAGACAACAAGCAGATATAACACAAAAACTACACAACTCATTCAAAGAAAGTCAATACATTCAAACTTTAAAATTTCAACCATACATGACAATTAAAAAGTCATTATTTATAGAGCTTATAACAAATTGCTTACATGACTACAGGCATACATTTGGATATAGTCTTAAAATAATGGTCATAGATCGAAATTCATCCACTAACAAATACATTATTTTGCCACAATTTCTTTTAAAAACTCATTTTTTGTAAGTAAAACAAATGTATCATTCCATCTTGTATATCCTGAAAGACTTAAAATCTATTTTTAAGTGAAGTACTCACAATGATCATTAAAAAATATAAAGGAAAAGCCTAATATAGTTTTATCCATGTGCTTAAAGTCACTTCTCTCATACATGTTAGTAAACAAGATGCATTTATAAAATGACACGTTTATATAATGCATACAACCAACCTGAATGGAAGCGTATAGTGATGAACTGTGTAAGGTGCAGCCACGTTGGAATATACAAATCAGTTAACAGAGATTGCTCTCATCTGACAAATGGTAGAACGTAAAGAAAAAAAAAAAAAAAAAGTGTTTTTTTGTTCACTCTTTAAAACAAGAATTTTAACTCATTCAGTCATGATACAAAGAAAGGTTAACAATGATAAATCATAAATTGCCATCGTCCCCTTAAGTAGTTTAAGTGAACCCAAATTGGTCACTCAAAGAGAAATCATGGAAATAAAGATAGACAAATGAAAATTGTCTTGTGTGAAAAATAAGAAAAGTGAGAGCAGAAACCAAAGTTTACCAAACTTTTTCATTAGAGACAATGAAGGTTTTTATCTTCTTTTAGACAAGCTAGATATAAAATAATTCAAAAGAATAGATTAATAAATAAAAAAAAAAACAACACAACAATTAAAAGAAAGAACAGCTAATTAAGTGTCAAAGCAACAATCCAGAAAGCTCTGGCCCAGACTAACAAAAATGTATAAAGAATGCTACCTTGATAAAGTCAATATAAACTGTCCCCTGGATTAAAGCATTGGTTTGTGAAGTTGGTGAGACAGTAATTGTGAGTTCAGTCTCTCAGTTGGGTAGTATAAATTTAGTGGAAATAGAACAAGCAGTAACTGGGTACCAAATAAAAACAAAAAAGGACAAAAGCAAATTTTAAAAAACACAAGAGTGTGTGTGTTTTTATATAAATAGACCTTAGGAAAAGTAATCTAAAATGAATTCATTAAATAAAGGGTTCAGCTTGAAATTCTCTGAAGGTTACCTGGACCTGAAGCCAAAATGTAATAAAAAGATGAGGACATTAGTCTGAATAGAAATAATGATGCAAAGAAGAATTATCCAGTTTTTCTTAATAGAGTTCAAAACCATACATGTAGTCATATTTCAATTTTACCTAAAGTAGCAGTTACTGGTACAGATTTTACAAGTGAATCTGTACATGATAGCCACTTAGGACAAGAATTGAATTCATAAGTTGATCTGAAAACCCACAATAGCCAATGAAATTTACTTTTAAGTGATTTACTATTTTAAACAAAAAAGCCCAAAGAAAGTGAGATTTGAATGTAAGTCAAAAAATATTAACCAAGACAAGAGAAATTAAGAAAAAAATCCATCAGCCTAAAAGAAAAAGAATTATCTCAAAGACCCAGTTAAAACATTTTGGGGTACAGTTGTTAATCATTAAATTATCCTAGCTACAGAATGAAGAGAGAATTCTTGAGATGAGAGAAATAGACTGAAGACTGAAAATGTAAGCATGTATGGAAAAATAAAATGCTGGTTAAAAAAAAAAAAAAAAAAAAAAAAAAAAGATTTACCAGGTAATGTTAATTGATAGCGGGAATCTAGTTGGTGATGTAGCCAGTACGAATCCACCCTAAGAGTGGTGGCAAGTTTTCCAACCAATAAGCTCCTGAGAAGCAGGTTCAGAACAAGCCAAATTTGGAAAATCTTGGAAAATGACAAATTAGGGGTTTTTGATAAATCAAACTAGCTGCAGACTAACTGAGATACCTCAGTACATGCAGGACAATTAACAATTTGGCAAGTTGACATTGCTATGTGCTTGCAAGATACTTGCGGAAAAGAGCTGGTCAAGTGAGGACCTTTTTCCCCAGTTTAAGTTTCTACTTGCAGACCAACAATCAAGAGAATATTTTGGAAATCAACCTTGTCTGCAGGCCTGAGACCAAAGTGCCCTGATTAAATTGTTGGACTACTCGTTATAACCCAGCCAACTGGTTAGTGCTGTTTTTTATATACTGTTGTTCACCCAATAAAAGAGCCCAAGAACCACTCAAGGAAGTTGGTTATTGAAGGAGGTTTTTTGTAAGGATGTAAGAAGTGCATAAGAGGATATGTAGAATAGATAACAGCTGACTCTAAAGTTGGAGATGTTAAGATCATAGTAATTGGAGAAGTCTCAGGAGTCTGTCCCACAAAGTAACAGTTCTTGGGAAGAAACTGCCAGAGTGAAACTTCCTCTTTACTAATGGAATAACAAAAAATGTAAAAATTATGAAAATTTAATGCATTTTTTCAGGTTAGCAGAACTTCTGCGAAAAAGGCACTCAATAGATAACCAGAGCTATAATATTCAATAAATTAAAAGTCACTTGAATTTTCATTGATTTATAGAATATAAAGAGAAAGGAATGGATCCTGTGTACATATGGTATAGAGAGTTTTTACTGTGAAAAGTCTGGACAAATGGCTAACTGATCTATTAAATGGTAGTATTCAGCAATTGTCACCATTAACAACTGTTGTTTTTACATAGTTGACAAGAAACTGGTTGAGGGAACACATTGCTGAGTTCCAGATACTCCAGCGGGGTATATTGCAGAACTTGCTAATTTCCCTCAAGTCACACCCAACAATTTGGTTATGGAGAACCCCGGAACATGCAATGATGTATATAGCCATGAAAGGATGTCAGAACCTCTTAGACAATGTTGGATAACAGCCATTATTTAGATAAAAGGAGAAGCAACATGATATTAACTTAAATGGGACTAATTTTTTGGCACCACAATCTACTTTCAAAATGGAACACAAGATGGAAATTTCAAATTAAACCAATTGTCAAATAAAATCACAACTTTATTTTAGGCATACACAAATTGTGGCAAAAGCAAAAATACAAATCCTTCAAAATGATTAAAGTTAAATCAATCACTTGTTTACCCCCATAATTTTCACATCCACATCAACCATAGGTTCAGAACGATAAGTCACAACACACTGTCACTCAAACGAATCAAAGCAAAAGTGGAAAATTAAAGTACATACCTCATCAGTTTCATCCATCTTGTAAGTGATTTTCTCAACAGCATCACCAACTCTGTGAAAAAGGCGCATAACACCAGCTCCACTCAGAGCAGAGGTGCTGGTAGCACGGGGAAGGTCACCATCTTGTTCAAGGAAGTCTCTGAAATCAGGGTCCATCCTCAGTACAGGATGGGCACTAGTTCGAACCAAAAACCTGACCAAAGAAAAGGAGATCAAATTTCACAATGAAAATAAGTCATTTGAGTTTCAGTCCTGGCTTGAGGCATTCGGGTGTCTAGTCACACTGAAGAGCTGTGATACAGCGAAACAGTACAGTCTGCAAATGACACAATTAAGCTCTTCAAAATATATTTCAGTTGAGCACTGCTGAGAGATAAGCTGATTCTATAAATAATGGCCACCTATGCTAATGCAAATCTCCTCAGTAAAATGGAGCACTTTGGCTGATTGGCGTTTGTTTACATTTGTAAAAACAATTAGAATTAGCTGTTTCTCTCTGCCAAGTGATGATAGCTTAGTGGTAGAAACTCTGACTGATGGTCCTGGCTTGAGGCATTCGGATATCTAGTCAAACTAAGGAGCTGTGATACAGTAAAACAGTACTGTTTGCGAATGACACACACACACTTATCTGAAGGGGTGCTGGAAAGTTATAAAACCCATTTAATGGGACCAAAGAAATTTTTTTTTTTTAGAAGAACACTTTGGACAGATTAAGTATGCAGCCCATTACTTTTATGCAAATATGTGCATTTTAATGTTGGGAATATATATCTGGCTAAGCAGGAAATATTACAAGAGTACCATAATTATACTTCCAAATTTGTGTTGGTATGAATTACAAGTTTCTACTTATAACACATTAACATGCAGAATAAAACAAAATAAGTAAAAAATATTGTGTACATTAAGAGGTTAATATTTTTCTTGGTAATAAATTATGAAGTGGTTTTCAAATCAATTTGATGTTAAAATGAATTCCAGTCTTAGATTGCAAATATCATAAACAATGTCAAGAATATATTTTTACTATTTTACAGGTTCCGACATTTTTGGTTATCCTACTTCAATCACATATGGATTAAAAGAAAGAAAGCAGGGGGAAAGCAAAGGACAATGGATATATGAGGGGAGTTCTGAAAAGTTCTCAAACCAATCCATTTATATTCTGATCAATCATTTTTAGTTAATTTCTTCTTGCTTAGGCTAAGAGGTTTTTAGCACCCCACCACAATGCATGATAGTATCAAAAGGTTTTTGCCCACTCCTCACGGCCATGCCATGCATATAGGAGTGATTTATTGCATGATAGTATCAAAAGGATTTTGATGCATTTTCATTCAAGGTAAAAAAAATTGTCACTAAATTCTTGGTTTGTATGTTTACCGTTCCAAAGCAAGTCTTCGTCTCTCAATAAATTCAACAGATCCGGATTCCTCTTTGTTCATCTTGATTTTAGTCATTCCTGAAAAATTATACAGAAAAATGATATAAAATTTTCAAAAACAGTAAAAATAAAATAATTCACTTTGTAATTTTGCACAGGATGCTTTAAAAAAAAATAAAATGAATCAAATTAAAATAATTACCAATAACACTTTTTTCCGGTGCTGGTGGTACAATACGTCCAAGATGTATATATTTTAGTGCCAGTTTTTCATGCAACCCAAGAAAGTCACTAAATCGGCGCAAAACTGTCATTGTACTCTTACGGAATGCAGGAATATTTGTCTGTAAATAACAATCACAAAAGTGACAGACCAAAAAGTATAAAGAATTTTAAATAGAAGAAAAAAAATAAAAAATAAAAACATTTTCTTTTCTTCATCTGCTTTTGTACATTTTTTTTTTAATTATGGATGCCGTTTTTATAGAGAAGCTAAAGTAAAACAAATCTGTTTGGCATTTGATAAGCTGACTTTACACTGAGGTAGCTGAACTAGGGCCAGCATAAATGATAAAAAGTTTAGAGAAAATTTCAGTAATTTTAAAACAGGATGAAAACTGCTACATGAATAGATTACACTTTTACTGATTACTAAAATAAACATGCTTCTGCTCTTTTTTATTTATTTTTTTTATCATAAGATGACATTAAATTTTGGGTTGATAAATTTGACTTTTGATTACCTTGGTTATGACTTTGTAGACAATGTAAGCTCCCATACCATCCCCCATTCTTTGGGGCTCGCAAACCTTGATCTCAATGCTATAAGGATCTTCCTCTTCAATCTAAAATAGAAAGACTGCAATAAATTATTGGGCAAAAGATTTTCAGCTAGAACCTTAGAAAGACAAAGTTTTAACTTTTTTTTTTTTAAATTTCCAACAAATTTTTTGCATATTAACAAAGTTGTATAAAATTACATTACCTTGAAATTACAGATAAAAATGATCTTTTTCATTTAATATATAAGTACCTCCACTAATTTGCTGCAAAAATATATGATGAAAAAAAAAAAAGCCCTAAACTTAAAACAAAGTTTCATTGACAAAATGTTTATATTTTTATTAAGAGGAAAGACCAAAGTATTTTTGATTATTTTATTAATTTTTTTAATCTTTTCTAGCACGTTCAAAATGTTTGTTAAAAATCTTGTTTTTCTTGCATCAGCTAGTGGTCAAAGATTAGCATAAGTAATTTTAGTGACATTTTTGCAATAATAAAACATTCATTTAGAAATTCTTGCAAAAATCAAATTAAATTTTCAAGACTTATTCACAAAGAAATGAAATTATTTAAATTTTTTTTTTTTTATAGAAAATCTTGGTAAAAACACATTTTTATTTCTGTTACCTTACTTAATCTTATAAAATTTTTAAAAAAATTAAAATCCCACCCACTTCACATTTATATTAGCTAAAAAGCAGGACTCCTTAGAGAATTTAAATCATTTTTTTGTCAAACAGAAACACCATTTACCGAAAATCTGCTCTGAATGTTAAAATAAAAAAATGCAATAAAACCAAGACATTATTTAATTAGAAAAGCTTTTAATTGCTTTTATAAATAAGATATATTAAGGACTATTACCATAAATTTTTTTTTTCAATGAATAATGAATTTTTTTACAAGAATGGTTTCCATTTTTTTTTTTAAATTTTAATTTAAAATTTTACTAAACTTAAATGGAAAAGCTTAGAACAAATCATCATACACCAATATTTTTAAAAGAAAGATGATCATACATGATGTTATCAGAAAATATGAATGATAACTATAGTAAATTTAGAGCCAAAATTTCTAAAATTCAATAAAACATTAGATTATGCAGAATATTTTATAGATTTTAGAAAAGTATATTTTATTTTTGGAAGATTTTTTTTAATAAAAAGAAAATTACATTCAAATAAATTCGGTTAAAAAAGTGCTAAAATAAAATCTTTTACAAAAGGAAAAACCTTCCAGTCAATTTAAATTAGTTTTGAAATCAAGCAAAGTATTTTGCTTATTGTAAATATAAATATTAAATTTAATTTCTTAACTTTAAATTAAAATAAAAGCTTCAAGAAAGATCTTTTATTTTTAAAAATTCATTTTAAGCCTTAGGTATCGTGAATTAATTGAGGTACCTCAATATATACATTTTATATTTTAGTGTCCAAATTTAAAGCCAATCATTTCCATTTTATACTAATATGCATAAAAAAGTGTGTGTGTGTGTATATATATATATATATATATATATATATATATAAAAAATATAATATACATATATTATGTTTATATATATATATATAAAAATATAATATATATATATTATATTTATATATATATATATATATATATATATATATATATATATATATAAATATAATATACATATATATATATAAATATAATATATATATGTTTATATATATATATATAAAATAATATACATATGTTATATATATATAACATAAATAAGAAAGTTATCTTCATAAGTAATATCCATACTTTGATTATATTAAACTGAATAATATTAAAATAATATAAAAATAATTTTAGTCTAATCAAGTTTTCAATAATGATTATAAACTATTTTAAATTAACTACAGTTCATCTAATAAGAAAGTAAACATTTTATGTTGTGTAGAATGTCAGGTATATTTTCATGGTTCAGGGAGAGGGGGAGATTGATTTTTTGATGGTGGGTGTATCAAATGAATTAATAAACAGCTTATTTCAAACTTGTTTTTAGCAATAGACTAAATATTAAGATGGAAACAGATTATTTAAATTTCACAAGTGAATTTGATATAGCCATTTCAAAATCAAAAAAAAAATTACGACTACAAAGCTATATCTTTAGCTAGCTAACAGTGTTATTAAAACAAAACAGGTGCTGAAAAACTATCAACTCAAGTCACTTCTCAAAATTTGAACAATTTTTTGTCCATTCTCAGCTGGGCTAACTTTTCAGCACCCTCTCATAATTCAATGACAGTACTTTTTGATCTCACCTCAAGTGTGATTATTAGTTTGAACAGTATAAAGAATTACTTTTTAATGTTCACATGAAAATAGGCTAAACATGAAGCAGCTGTGATAATTTTAAAATTAATACAATCCAGGCAACATAATTAGCTTTTATCACATTTTAAATTGAGAAAACAAAGCAGAAGACAGATGGCAATGAAAGATGTTGACCATTTAATTAACAAATCCATCTGTTTTTTTTCACTAATTCAGAAATTAAGTGTCATTTAATAATTATGGACTTGACAGAAGAATAACTTTTTATTGTTTCAAACAATTTATGACCTGCCCTCTATAGGTCCAGTGTAAACTGGACTTGCTTTGATGCACATATATAATGTTTAATAACCATATAAAGAAAAAAAAAGAAATAGACAAAGAAAGTTAAGAGTGAGATGGAAAAGTTTAAGCTAATTATGGAAGGGCTGGTTAGAGTTTGAGGACACAGCAAGAGAGGGGAGGAGAGAAGAGAGAGAGAATGTAAATGCAAGAAAAGAAAGCATGTGGTGGAAGTGGGGGTGGACTTGCCTCATCCTTGGCTTGTTTAATAGCGGTGGCAGACATGGCTGTAGAAGTGGTTGAAGTGTGTGTTATTCCAACCCTTGGTGGTTCCTCATCAGCTCTTGATGACTCACTCACAACCGAAGGGAGAGAACTTCCAGCAGGCTGGGCACCAGGTGGTGTCTCTGTCTCTTCAGCATCAGAATCCAGTTTGACCTCTGTACCTCCACCTGAACAAAAGTCCAATAATTTAAAGAAACACACATTCAAACTAAATACTGGGCATGACCTAAGCAAGCAAGAAAAAAAATGGAGATATTGCCTAGCATTATTAGGGCAACTAATATCAAATCTATAAAAATTAGACACTCAATGGTGTGCTTAAATGATAATTGGTTGCTGATCAGGAATTTGATGGTGGCCAAAGATTTTAACATTTCCAGGAATATTTGAGAGATTAGCTCATAATATTACTCTTTAAAAATCAACTCTTTTATAAGAAGTGTTTATGTTTTTCAAAATTAGATCTCTAATACTAAAAGAGAATCAACAGAAGGAAAATAATTGTACATAAAAAAAAAAAAAACTTAACCCTAATATTTAATCAATGATGATGGAAAAGGCATAACACTGGCCTTATTTTATTAAAGTTACTCAGAAATTTTAGAATAGAATTACTGAGAAGTCTTAATTCTAAATTTTATTTGGCAAATGATTCAAATAAAAGACATCAGGATGTAAAAGTTACAATATATCAGATGCAAAATGGTATATTGAAGAGTGAACTGCAGAGATAGGAAAATTGACAAAAGTGAAGAAAATCAAAACTGCTCACATTCAACAATAGGGGTTGAAAAAATAAAAAATAATCATTAGTCGACACCATTTTGGAAGAGAAAATCTTACATACAAAATGCACAAGTGAAGAACCGGGAAATTATTAATGGTAGAAGATCTCTTTAGGCAAAAAGATAAATATTTTGTAGACAAATTTAATAACATTAAGATTATATACAGCCACTCTTAGATCTTTTTAATGTTCATATGAAAATGAGTTGTTGTGTGTCAATTCTGATGGGTCAATATGAAAGTGGGAGAGAATACATAAAATGACGAATTAAAGTAATGAAAAAACCTTGAACTATTTAAGATATGTAAAAAAAATTTTTGAATAAAAAATTAAAATGTGGAAAGAAAAATTGTACTATTTATAGACTTAAAATTTGACTGTTTTCCAATTGTAATGCAACCTATAGTAATAAAAAGAAAAACATTCTCTGATTGCAAGAAAACATACTAACAGAAGAAAAAAAAGAAATGATTGCTACCTAATATGATCTGAAGTTTTACTACTTAAAAAATAAAATAATTGAGATAAAATTGGCTTTACACTGGAATATATCAGAATAATTTCAGAAAAAATTCAGAATTTGGCATTTTTCACTCATAAAAAATGAAAATATTGTAAGAATTTTTTTTTTTTAAATGGCAAAGAATATTTACTATAAATCAAAGATCTTTTGTCATACTAAAAAGAGTAGATTTCAATCTAATTTGGAATAAAACATTTATTAAAGTGTTAAATTCAAACAAATTCACTCATTTGTTAAACTAGGGGTTATTTTTATTTAAAATAATCCTGACAAGATTTTGCATAAAATAATCAAAAAAAAAAGTATATATAAATTTAAGTTCTAGTAATAAAAAAAAAAAAAATTATTTATTTTAGTTATTCGCAGTTTAATTGGATGGTCTAAAAATTAGAAATTAAAGTAACCCTTATGCAAGAAGCTGTTGAAAGTTTCTTGACTCAAACATCTTTTTCCTAAATGACTAAAGATCAAAATTTATTTTGAAATTCTATCTTGGTTGAATTGAGAACTTTTCTACACCACCATTTATTAAAAATAAATACAAAACAATTCTGGTACACCAGTTGATTCTTGCATAAAAAAAAAATAAATTGGTTGAAGGAAATTAATTTTGGAATTTGAATTCTATCTGGAGAGCTAGTCAAGACTTTCTTTTTTTTTTTTTTTTTTTTTTTTTAAGAAGAAGAAGAAGTCTAAAGTTATTTAGACAAAAGTACTGAACCAATACGATGAAAATACAAGATGCAGTGTTATTAACTACTTTAGCAGCTGGTTAAAAGAAAATGAGCCTGTTGCTCGATTAATTTGACTTCTTCAGTATTGAGATTTGATCTTAAAATGAACTAATTACTTGATAAACTATCACATATTTGAGAATGAAGATATTTTTTATATTAAATCATGCATTTGAAAGGGGGAGGGGAAAACAATCATATCTAAAAATGAAAAAGTTTCAAAATAATGTCTGAACCCTCATACAATGTGATAAAATAGAAAAAAAAAAAAAAAGATTTTCAAATATTACAATAAATAAATTAATTAAAACTTACAATAAAAGATGTAAAAACTGAAGTAGCAATTAGCATTTTTATAACAACCACCATGAATACATTGTGAAGAGATGTCATTTTAATTATATTACTGAATTAAAATATATGCAGTGTTTTCAAAAAAGGTTATAATTCAGAGGTGTAAATGAACATTGTTAATGAAATCAATAACGAGCAGAGAAATATAAAAGTCTTTATATTAAAATTCACAAATTTTGGGGGATTGGAGGGGGGCGGTAAACTAGTGGGGGGATAAAACAAAGAAAAGAGAAATTTTTAAAAATATTTTTCATTTCAACATTTTAACATTTTCTAAGCTTTAAAATGAATAACTTAGCTGAATATTTATTACAGTAAAATACTTGAAAAAGAAAAAAAATAAATAAATAAAATGAAATGGAATGGCAAACAAGCCCAAACAATTTTTTGGCAACTATGATATTTAAAGGAAAAAAATAAAAAAGGCAAATTAATGAAAAACTCTGCATTGTGTGCAAGAAGCATGCAAATGTGCAGTAAACATGCATATAGATGAAATAGATTCCACCACAAGGAAAAACTGCACTATAAACATCTCCAAGAGTGCTATGTGTAGCAGTTAACGAGACTAAAGAAAGAAAACAATTCATAATTTACTGTTACACTGAATTTTATAAATTAATTGAAATTAAAATCTGCATTGTTTTATGCATTATGATAAAGAGTATAAATAGTAGAATACTTTGAGAGAAAAAAAGAAAATTATTATTGATCCCACACTGTTGGGACATGTAGAAATGAATGTGGGTCATGGATATATTGGTGTAATGGTTAAGTCTTGATTTCTTAAGATCAACAGCAATGGGGTGTGAAGCAAGGGAACAATCCAGGAGGGAATGACTCACTTTCAAGAGTAGGGAGGGTACTTCCAGCCGGTTGAGCATCAGTAGGAGTTTCCGATGGGATCATCTCCGGCTCAGAGTCCAGAGCTATCTCAGTCCCGCCTGCCAACAAGACACCACACACACATTACACACTAACCAAGCACAAACAACAGAAATTGACAAAACAAAAGAGAGAGAGAGAAGAAAAAAAAGAAAAAAGATTTTTCTAGAAACAAAACAAATTCATCAACTTATAAACTAATGTTGTTCTGCATGTATATTAAATAAATAGCCAAGCTAGAGAGATATTAAGAAAACATGGTTTAAATTATCCCAGAAGGCAGCCAAAATTATTAAAATATTAAAATGTGGAGATAAAAGACTGCAAGAATTTTTCTGAAAATTGTTTCAGAAATTCTAATAAAGAATGCTTTAATAGCAAAGTTTTTGTTATTAGCTTTTTAAAAATATTTCATTTTTCACTCATCCTATTTTTGCACATTACAAGCACAATTTGTTAATTTAGTCACTAATTACTGTCATTCAGTAATTATTCTTTGTATAACTTTGATACAGTTGAACTTTTGAACTTGCAATAAAAGTGAATATTTTAATTACATCATTATCTTATTAAAAGAACATCTGCTGTAGAATGCCAGTCAGTCTCATCATTGGATAGCCTACTCTTATGGATTTCTAGCAAACATAATATCTACAAGAGTGCTTGCAAGGTGAGCATCCTGATCTCCTTAGAAAGAAAATTTATTAGGTTATCAGATGATGTACATTGTTATTTTATTATTGAGTGGCCATTAAAAAAAAAAAAAAAAAAAAAAAAAAAAAAAAAAAAAAAAACAACACACACATTTTAATATATTGTCAACAAGGACGATATAAGTAATAGTATATTCAATCTATTTTATACTTGCAAAGTCATTTTAATAATATTTTATATGGTTAAGTAGGAAACAAAATATTTGTAGAGCAAACTGAAAAGGTTTTTGCAGATGTTAATATCTCAACAGTGGACACAAAGGAGTGACTATTTGGCTGAGTGTAGACAGTCTATGTCACTGAAAGTGGACGAGTTGAGTGAGATAAAAATTAAACAGGATCTCCCCAATTTATTAAAACTTTTTTTAAAAGTCATAATTTAAAACATTTTCTGCTAAAATGCAAAATAAGTAAAATGTTTTTTTTTGTCTCTCAGAAAAATAGCCAGAAGCGTAATCAATCCCCAAACTATCAGGCTGAATCCAAATTGGCTAAAAACCCTAAATGAATAAATGCATTAATTATGCAAATAAGAAAGGGGAAAATGAAACAGTAAAGAGGTCAAGCATTATGTGAATACCATTTGGAAAATAAGGAAATACTTGCCAAAATGTATCTACAAAAGGCACAACTGAAATTCATCTTTGATTACACTAAACATTTTAAAATTCTTTATATAAACAATTTTTATTTTTATTTTTTATTTTCTTCATTAAGATTTCATAGCAACTGTTTCATAAAAACTACCATCTTTCTTCATATCACTTACTTAATATGATATGTTGCTAAGAGAGACATGTCCAATGTTGATCTTCAATATATAATTCAACTTAAAGAGCCATTAGCAATTCTTGACAAATCACAATCCTAATTTGACAATTTCTTTTAGAATAGGAAAATAATGAGTGTGGATTCTTGGGCAATTTTCTTTTTTCAATAATAAATATAATTGTCATTGACTTATATTTATAATGGTTTTGAAATAGAATGTTTAAAATTATCATTAAACTATTTAGGAGTTGCATAAAGTAACAAATCAGTAATACATGTTATTTATTTTTCAATAGGATTTTACATTAAATGAAAGCTTTTTTATTTTATTAATTTAAACCAGATATCCAATCTATTAAACATTTTGTACTATACTGTCTGTACTTTGAAGTGTTTTTTTTTAATAGCAAACTGAATTACTTTGCCAAACCCAAATGTTATTTCATCACAATTAACCATTTTGTAATAAAGTATTTAGGTTAATAAAAAAAACAATAAAAAAAAACAAAAAACCCATAAGTGCATAAACTGTAATATAGACATATGCTCTACCAAAAACATGCAGCTGTGTAACCATCAAAATCTAAATACAACAATGGACAAATTTAAAAATAACAGCATTACAAAATTTTCAATAGGACAAAATTGATAATGCAGACACACAAAGAAACAACATTAGCAAATAGAATCAAGCAACAAGAAATATTCATGCAGATTGTCTAAATACCAGTTATCCCCACCGGCATACACAACTTAAATTTATATACATACACACATTTTATCCTATGATATATAAACTGAAGAGCAACATTGTGTCCAATTTTCCAAAATGGCTATTGGCCATCTAAGCCAATCAAAGCTTCACAAATGGACTCCTCTCAAATGACTAATTGAACAAGGAGACCATGTGTATCTTCAATGGAGTTTTCAACAACATTGAACCTTGTCACAGCATGCAGCACCATCTAAATCTCAAATAAAAGATTGCGTGATGATATAAATGTTACGGTGTCAAAAGATAGCCAATAAACTTTGTCATAAATGCCATCAAAATATCTAATTCTCCCAGATGTGCACATCCTCTGTGCGTGTGTGTGTGTTATTGTTTGTTTCAAGTGAAGAAGCACAAAACTATAATAATGATACCACACAATGAACCAATATATAATCTTAAATATTACAATTAACTAAACCCTGTATTCCTCTTTACTATTTTTTTTTTTTTAGAAAAAAAAAAAAAAAAAAAAAATGAAACTCTTCTAAAAGATCAAATCCAGCTAAATTATTTCATCAAAATTAGAGCATATTCACCTTGAAATATAGTAATTGCTTCTTGGCATGACAGAAGATTTGTTTTTTTGTTTTTAGAGTTAATAATTCTATCAAGTAAGGTTATAACATTATTTACTATGCATCAAAGTTGCACTCATAGTTGTAAAAATGGCAGAAAATTGGTTTGGTGGAGCAGTGTGGAACAAGCAATAATCTAATCACTAAAAGTTGAAATAGGAAAATTTCAATCACATTTATATTCAGAAATCTAAAGTCTAAGCTCCATATTAGGAAGTTAATTTGAAAACATTGGGGGAAATTATCCTCCTCCCTCCCTAAAATTTAAAAAAAAAAAAAAAAAAAAAAAAAAATTTCAAAATATATCCATGAACAAATCAATGAGATTTGTACATGATCGAGAAGAATTATTGAATCAGTTACAATATCAAAATTCAGTTTGCTTATAGGAATTACATCCTCTGTCTCATATATATATATATATATATATATATATATATATATATATTTTTCAACCAATAAAATCGTATCTGCTTCATTTGTTAAACAATCATTACAAGGGAAAATACCACCAAAATACTTGCAGATGCAGTTGTAGGCCTACCATGTGTTATTTTTTTGACCTTTTAGAAAATAACAATAATTCCCTTCATCACTCCTGCAAATTTGAGATTTTCACAAACCATTGTGAAGTTATTTTCTATCTAATGAAAATCTGGTATCCAAAAAGTTCATGCCTCTATGTGAAGTTTGATTTTGAATCCCCTTACAGATATAAAAATAGAAGTCTACTGCTGATTTTGTAGGCCAGTTTGATGTACACACATGTACACACACAATGGTAGTCAGCAACCACCAACAAAGGCCTTGTCCATGTGCACAATAGAAGGAATTAACCAGCAACCACTGATTAAGTCTTGGCTACAAACTCACAAATACATTACGCTGTCATAAAGTAAGACAGTTGTCACATTTCACACCGCAGTAAGAACACTTAATTACTTCATAAAACAAAGTTCAGTGCAAGGAAAATTGAACATTTTATTGCTGTTGTATATTTCTGAAAAGAATATATAAAAATGTTATTTCAACTGATGTTCTGCTTCTAATTTTCCTCCATAAATAACCTTTTTTATGTCTCATTTAAAAAGATGTGGTGGTGGTGTTCTTAAATGTTTGGAATCCAGACACTTGGATAGTAAACATAACCTGGGTAGATTTTTTTAAAGTAGGCTTTTATGTCACCTTTTCAAGCAAAGCCAATACTTAAAATTATTAAAATAGATATTGGTTGAACATCTTAATCACATTTTATACTTTCCAAAACATATAAATAATATAGAACCATAAGTTAACTTATTATAATAGAAAATTATATTTTTAATTACAAGTATTCACTATTTTCTTTGGCTATATGGACTTTATTTTTCTCAACATAATATTCTTTCATACATTTTTTTTTCTAATGTGAAATGACCATATTCACATTTCAGTATTGGAATATCAAAAAAAATGTTAAACATCCAACTGGTCTTGTGTGTGCGTATATATAAGATGTTTGTCCAAGATTTATTCAGCCAGCAAAATAATAAAAACTGGCCTAATTGTACTTTAGTTCACTTCAAAGTATTTTCCTTGGGACATCAGTCTTATCTTGGTCTTTTTGAAATTTCCTCTCACTTTAAGTCTGCCCTGTAAAGTTTGTGCTAAGAGAATCTGGTTGATGTGATGATTTTGCTAAAGAAGCTTGCAAAAAGAGGTGAAGAATCAACCTGCGCTATATATATATATATATATATATATATATATATAATTATATAAATAAAAAGGTAAGAAATCCCTATACAGTGTATTTAATATTGAATCATGGTTCTATTTTGACAATTTTCAATCACTGTAAAGGAGATCTGTCCAGAAAGTAATCAGCCACTTTAGATATTTGATGCAATTTGGTAAAATCAACAAGGAGAGGAACCATACCACTGATTAATGAACTTATAATCTATGTAATGTCATACTGTTAGCTGGTGTATTGTGTTACTGCCCCATTGGCCAATGACTGAGCAGGTTGATTCTTCATCTCTTTTTGCAAGCTTCTTTAGCAAAATCATCACATCAACCAGATTCTCTTAGCACAAACTTTACAGGGCAGACTTAAAGTGAGGGGAAATTTCAAGAAGACCAAGACTGATGTCCCAAGGAAAATGCTTTGAAGTGAATTAAATTACAATTGAACCAGTTTTTATTATTTAGCTGGCTAAATAAATCTTGGACAAACCTCTATTTTTTATATATATATATATATATATATATATATATATATATATATATATATACACACACAGTGTGTGCCATGGTCTGCAAGACCACCCTGTAAATCATTTAACCATATGATTTCAATCCTGAGTATATGGCCAGCTGCTAAGAGGCTTGTGTATATTTCAATAATTGTTTTTGCAAAGAAAAGAAAAAGCTGTAAGAATTCATTCACCTTCCTTTTTGTCCACTTCTCATAACAAAAAAAAAAAAAAAAAAAAACAAAACACAAAATTTAGAATCACAACAAATAGAAAAGAGAAAAAAAATCAAAGTTGAAAGATAAACATGCAAAGTTGCTCAACCAATTGGTTAGCGATCAAGATACTTACCTGCAAACAGGTCTTCTGTTTTTAGCTTAGTGTCAGGCAAACTGGCAGGGCCATTGCTTTCATCATTCAATACCAAACTAGCAGGTTCTTCTTTTTTTGTCTGTATGAATGTACACAAAACAAAGAAAACTCTCAGGAAATTAATTTGCATTGGAAATAACTTCTTAAAAATCTTTTGTATGGATTCATAAAATAATGTGGCATTTACTAAATAATGGCTTAGTTTGAAATGCATAATTGATTAAAAGCAAAAGGAACAAATATTTCATTGAATCTTTGCTGTGTCAATAAGATTAACCAGAGAAATTAAAGTTATTTTGAAAAAGGGTAAAATATGACAACATTGTTCTCAGTGAAAAGCCAGAGTTAAATATACAAGACACTAAAATATGTACAATAGCAGAAGAGAGCAGGTGGCCATAAGCACTAAATGTGAAATTACAGACTTAAAAAACCTCAATTTCAGGATACTTTTTTTTAATACAAATTTTCATTTCTAATGTCAACAATGTGCAGTTATCAAGAAGGCAATGATTAATCACAAGATTCACTTGATTGAACTGAATAATTATAATGCATTTTTCATAGAGTTTGATTTTCACTCATCAAGTTTTCAATCCATAGTGAAAGAAACAAAGAGCATATTGAAAGAGAGACAATTCAGAATTGCAACTATAAAATGTATCAAATCTCACAAAATAAATTGATTCATTTTTATTTTATTTCTTTATTAGTTCTACAGTAAAAAAAAACAAAAAAAAACTCATTTTTTAAGTGCAGGTTTTTTTGTTTTTTTTCAAAAAATTATTCGGTTAATAAATTTTTCTATTTTGCTGAAACTGATTTGTTAATTTATATATATATATATATATATATATATATATATATATATATATATACACACACACACAGTGCATCAAAAAAATACTCTCACAAACTTTGGAGGTGGGTTACTCATACCAAAACAAGGGCAGAAAGTCCATATAAACATATGCCCACAAATCCTTCGTTTTTGATTTATTAAGTTTAAAGTTTACAGTAGAAGCTGTTAAATTTATAATTCAAGATACAATCCAAAAATACTTTTACAAACTTGGGGGGCAGGTTCCTGACACTAAAACAAGGTAAAATGTCCATATAAACATATGCTTAAAAGCTCATTGTTGTACCTCAACATAGCAACTCATAAGAAATATTCAAACTGACCTCTACTTACTTCTACACACGCATGCACCTGTTGGAACATTGACTGGCAAACCCTTCAAATATTCTCACACGGTGTTGAATGGTTTTGTAAGCCCTCATGACACACTGATGAAGCATCTCTGCATTATTAAAGTCTGCTGCATAAACCAATTGTTTTAGGTGGACCCACAAATAAAAATTCAAAGGACTGAGGTTGGGGGAATGTAGAGGCTATGGAACCAATCCTCCCCTACCTATCCATCTTTCATGATAGATGTCAGTTAGTGCATTACAAAACAATATGACTAAAATGTGCTGGAGCTCATCATGCATGAACCACATGCGGCTTCATATTAGCAGGGGTACATCCTCTGGCATGACTGGAAGTGTGTTTGTAATAAAGTCCCTGTAAGACATGCTAGTAGAAAGTATGAACCTATTAGACAGTCAACTAAACAGTAAAATTCCAGCCCATGCATTAATTGTAAATTGATGCTGGTGTCTAACCTGTATTGTACCCTGGGGATGCTGATCCACCTACAAATGTTGGTGGTGTAAATACATATGGCCATGTGTAAAAATCATATCTGCCTGCTCACAATATTTAAATCCTGCCATTGTTAAACGGAAAACTTCTCAGTTAACTTACTACTATACACATTAAATATTAAAGACAGACTAGCCACAAATGTACACAAATGACAAATGTAACCTAGTCTATATGACAATGCAGCGCCATCTACCGTAAACTTTCTTTAAACCTAATAACACAAAAATGAAGGATTTGTAAATATGTTTATATGGACTTTTGCCAAGTTTTGGTGTGAGGAATCCATCCCCAAAGTTTGTAAAAGTATTTTTAATACATCCTCTGTGTGTGTGTGTATCTCACACATACATACACACACACAAATAATAAATATACATTTTTTTTTCAATATGTGCCTGATAATTACATGCATAAAAGTTGTGCTATATGGTGAGGAACAAAATGTACATTATAAATTATATTAATTATAATTATATTTATTATAAATTTTTGCTGTTATTATAAATCAACCACTATTTTGTTACCATTAGCACTCACTGTGCACTATATATATATATATATATATATATATATATATAGGATTAAATTCTAAGAGTTTTTAGGTACCAAAATTGCCACTTCTTTTTCTGTACTTTACTTGTGGAAAGGCATTTAGACAGGTTTTTGTTATAAGGTGCTCAATATCAAAAAGGTAACAATAGAGTGTTAATAGAATTAATGTGAAGAAACTTATCACTTAACTGAGTGGTGTTATTTCAAGTCATGGCAACTTTGAAGTTTCATGAGAGCATTGTAGTAATGCCTTCACTCTTCAGGGCTATTGGCTTCTCAAAAGATGAAAAATGAGGGGAGAGGAATGAAATAAAAATTTGTGTTTAAAAATGTTGTTTACTTTGTGTAAACAAAGTCACTATGAAAACATCATTGCCTTTTTTTTTTGGCTCATAAAAACAGATTTTTTTATTTTTTTTTTTCCTTTTAATTTCCAAAATTCACCTTATTGGATTTTAAACTTTTTGGAATTTATTTAAAAGAGAATATATGTTTTTTAAAAAATCTCTTCATAATTTTAGAGAAAAAAAACAATTTTTTTGCATAATTACACATCCACAATTTTTTAATTGGATGACTTTCAGTTGTCTCTCAATTTGGATTACAATGAGGATTACTCTTTTTAAAAATAAGCACAAAAAAAAAATAGTAGGGTGAAAAAAGTCAAAACCCAAAAGAAAAGTGGATACAGATACCTTAGCCTTAAATTTAAAAATAAAAACATTTTTAATATATTTTTATTATTTTAATTTATATTCTAAGGTTATTGTCTGAAAAAGAAAGAAAAAAAAAAAATATCTTATTTTTTTTCAAAGATTTTTCTATAATTTCCTGTAGTATCAACTTAATAGTGTGATATTTATAAAAGTCTATTCTTTCAAAAAGGTGTACAACTATAAGATCTTGTTTTTAAAAAATTGATGTCCATTAATAAATAAAGATATTAGAAAAATATTCTTTTTAACTATTTTAAAAATAATTGGAAGAAATATTAGCTGACTGTTGATGTTGTACCTGCTAAAAGCTATGTATTCCAGATTGCAAATTGGCTATTTTCACCTGACATATCAGATTTGTAATTTTTTAAGGAAATACCAAATCAAAAAATTCGACTAAAACCGACAAAATTTGTTGAATATTTATTAATATGAAATTAGATCATTTTGTCTTCCAAAATTTTGAGGACTGAAAATTGTGATTTTAGTGGTACCACAAACAATTTTGACACTAAAGAAATAAGAATTCTCTAAATCAGTATATCAATTCCTAAATTCTATCAAAGACTATTTGGAAATAAAGAAAGCTTCATATATATATATATATATATAAAATGCAAAGAAGAAGAGTTCTTTATATTTTAAGGTTATTGTCTCAAAAAGAAAAAAAAAAAAATCTTTTATTTTTCTTCATTGCCAATTCAAGAAAGAAATTCGGATTACGAACACAGAAAATGTCTCATATTGAGAATATTTAACATAGAAAAACAAAAGAAAATATTAATTATTTTTAATAATATGTGGAAATCTCCGCTTTTACCTGAAGACGGTCACGAGACCAGAAACACGTGTAGTAAAATTATGTAAAACAAAGCATAATATCTTTTCTAAATAAATCCACATTACAACCAAAAACGTTTGCGGCACCTCTCTTCTTTTTAATATACATACTTTTCTCTCGTTGGAAACACTACATTCTCTTTATTATATATATATATATATATATATATATATATATATATATATATATATATATATATTAGTTTCCAGTGATGATAAAAAATTTTCTCAAAATAAACATCAACTAGACATAATGAAACAGTTTTGTCACCTAGTTGAAGTGCAAGTACTCCTAAGAATAACCAGATGACATAAGTATCTAACACAGAATTTTTTTAAATTTTAAATGTTGGCGTTTCAATATCTTTTAATAACCATTTTAAAAGGTCTCGGAAATCGTTATCTTTATTATGGCCCTGGGTAAATTGGAACCAATATTTCTCATGCTTTTAAAATGAATAAAAATATAACAGTGTCTAAACTGCTACACACCAATTTCAATGCTGGAGAAAAAGACCAAGAGAAAAAAAATGATTAGTGCAAATTTTTCTTGTATATCAAATATCATCTACTTAGTGACAGTTGAAAATCATAAGCAATAGTACTACAATAGTCTTTAAAATGTCACCAGTCATTGCCAAAGAAACCAATCAAACTAAGGGGAATGTTTGAAAACTAATGTTGATCTTTTGATCTGATAAAACATGTTTTGTCAATGCTCAACAAGCAAGGTTAAGCTTAGTCAAGTTTTATGACAAATAAGTGGCATTGTAACATAGATCAGGTCATCATAATGCATGGAAAATGTAGATTAAATTTCTCTTCTTCTGTACAATTTGTCATCAAATTCCATACAAGTTTCACATCTAGCCTATTTATATCCAATGCACAAGATGTGGAGTTGGGAGTTGGGTCTACAATTTTTGCATACCGAAATTGGTTATCAATTTTTTCTATATATCGAGACTAATTCATACTAATTAATTTTATCATATTCAGATATTAACATTATACAAAGGACTCAAGCAATTTCTCTTTCATTTCAAACTTATGACAAATATTTATTCACATCAATTTACGTAGATTTACATTTTTTTTGTTTTAAGTTTTACCTTTTCAGATATGAACAAGATTTATTTTTTCTATAATTTTTTATACCTTTAATAATATCTTTGAATTTGATTATATCTTTCATGCTACGATAGCAAGGGCTCTAATTTTCATGATACTTTATTCAACGAAAATATACTGTTGACA